TGGGTCGCGGGGTGGGTCGCGGGTGGGTCGCGGGTGGGTCGCGGGTGGGTCGCGGGGTGGGTCGCGGGGTGGGTCGCGGGGTGGGTCGCGGGGTGGGTCGCGGGTGGGTCGCGGGTGGGTCGCGGGTGGGTCGCGGGTGGGTCGCGGGGTGGGTCGCGGGGTGGGTCGTGGGTGGGTCGCGGGTGGGACGACGACAACAAACAACAACAACAACAAACAACAACAACAACAACGAGAATCCGCACCGCGGAATCCCATTTCAGCCACGCACCCAGGGACAGTGAATGACCGTTCGGCCCCCTCACTCTGACAATGCCAACCACATGGGTAAGACAAAGGCAGGGAAACATATTGTTCTATATTTTGTGGGGGGTATTTTTTGCGTTGGTGCAGATAAATAGATCCCCCGGGGGGCCAGCCTGCGTTTCCTTCCCGCACGCGTCGACTGCCCGGAGGGCTTTCCTATTTTGGCGCTTTGCGTATTCGTGGCGGGCGGTGTTAAGGGGCGCGGCGCCAGCGCGGCATTTCCCCGTCGGGTGGATTGCGGCAGCCACGAGACCGCCTCGGCTCGCATTTCGCAGTTGCCCCGCGTGGAGATACAAGGCGCGCAACCCGCTCGTCGGACGCGCCTTCGCCAGCTCGCTCAGGAGCAGTCGCCGCTGTCGTCGCCGCGGCGCGGGCTCGAAGGATCAAAGAGTCAAAGAGTCAAAGGAGTGGTCGGGTGGTCTGATTGGCCGCCCTGCACCTTGTTGCGCCCCCTGGTGCCCAGGTGCGCCGCCCCATTTCCGCCCCCCGTTGAGGCGCATCAGCAGTCGATCATCCGCCGTGGGCGGACCCCCGATCTCGCGGCGAGCTTTCCCGACGCGGCCAGCCGCCCCCCCCCTCCCCCGACGAGCTCGCTCGAGGGGCGAGCTCCGCAAGCCGTGGGCCGTGCGAAGGGCCCGACTTCGGCGGCGAACCCGAGCCAGGGCCCAACCTTGCAGCTGTGAGCGCTGCGAGCTACGCGCGCAAAATCCTTGTTGATTCGTGGTCCCTCCAAGATCCGTCGTCCATTGCCGTCTGGCTGCTACCCAATGGCAGCGAAAGAAGAGTTCCGCGCGGCCGCCGAAACTCTCGGCTTTGGGCCCCCATGCGTGAAACCGCAGTCTGACGACGCATTGCACCCCGTGTCGAGCACTTGGGAAGCCTTTGGGCATTGGGCCGCTCGGGTAACCTTCTGGGGCCCAGAGGGCGGGTGTAGGGCGGCTGCCGCGTTCCCTTGCTACTTTTCAGCTGCATTTCGATGCCCCTGATCTAGAGGCCAGGCGCAGCCTGCACAGAGCAAGAGGCAACCGCGTGCAGGCTGCCACTCCTCAGACATATGGTATTGTATTGTTTGCATAAGCTCGATGCCGATGGGTATACTTTGCCTGATCTTGTAGGATGGGCCGGTCTCGTCTTATGTATTGTTTGACTGTTCGTATGAAGTGTTCAGGTAAGATGTGGGATTATGTTTTGCTTTGCTTGCATCTACTGTCGGATTTGCCGTATATGGTATAGTTTTGCATGTGTCGCGGGGCTGCGTGCTATTTTTTGTATGTTTATTATTGATATTGTGTTTCCAATTGCTTAGACATCACATAATCAGTATTCATATGCAAACAGTATCACATTACTACTATTCGAATAAGTGCCGCGACCTGATACGCATGGTATTATTACTTACACGTACAACGCTTCCCATGTTTCTTGCAATATTGTAGAAGCATCCGGCCGGTGCCGCCGATCCGGGACGATCCCGCTGTCAGAAGGACGCTATCGCCCCAGCGCGCTTGTTCAAACGTAAGTGATTTGAAAACAGCTTGGAGGCATTGCGTGGGATTCTTGATGGGCCTTCACGACGCATCTTCGAGGCCTCCTGGGGTGGCGTCTTGGAGGTGATTGTTGAGCTTCTTGGAAGCCTTTTGGGCTTCTTGGGGGGCATGCAGGAGGCATCCTGGAGGCCTCCAGTGTGTGTGTGTGTGTGTGTGTGTGTGTGTATGTGTGTAGGAGGTAATTTTCAAGCCTTCGGGAGCGCTTTTGGGCGCCTTTTGGGGCCTCTTGAGGGACACTTGGAGCCTCTCAGGTTTTCTTGGGGACTTCTAGGGCAATTTTGTGCCTCCTGGGCGCCGCTTGGGCCGTCTTGGGCCCCTGGGGCGTCATGGAGCTCTCTTGGGCGCTGCTTGGGCCCGTCCTGGGGCCCGCTTGGGCTGTCTTGGGGGCCTCCCGGGCCGTCTTGGGCCCTTCTTGGGCCGACTTGGGTCCCTCTTGAGAGCCTCTGGGCCTGTTTTGGGGGTCTCTTGGGTCGTGTTGGACACTGCGAAGGCCGAAGAAGAGGAAATGCAAGACATGTACGTTTTCTTTGGGCACTCGTAGGAGGTGTCGGGAGGGTACGTTGGAGGCTTCTGGAGCCGTCTGAGTAACATATTGGGTGTCTTGGAGCGATGTTTCGGCCACTCAGGGCCCTCTTGGGCCGTCTGGGCGGCCGCTGGGTTTTTTATGAGCCCGCGTTCGAGCTCTCCGGGGCGAGGGGCCGACCCGCATTGAGCTGGAGCTCCGATTTCGCCACCAAAATTGACTCGGACCCCCCCGCCCCCCCCGAACCCCGGCAGAGCCACCCCGGCACCCACCCCCCAGCAGAGCTGAAGCTCAAGAACGGAGGCTCGGGCTATATCTGAGGGTCTTTGAAATTCACACGCCAGATCTGCGGATTAGGGGGTTCACGCTTCGCATTGTTTCGAAAACAACAGGGGGCGGCTTGTTTTCGGCTTCTCTTACGCTTTCCCATTCCTAATGCTGCAAAACGGGGCTCTTGCCGGGATTGCGGGCCATCGCTCATCTGTTAAGGGATACGCTTCCCACGATGAGAAGGTGCACGTGCACCGGCTTATGATGAGACTTGGGACGGTAGGGTGTATTGCAGCATCGTTGATGCATCTTTGGTTTATTCTGGTCCTCCTCCTCTTCCTCCTCTCCCTCCTCTTCCTTCTCCTCCTCTTCCCCCCTTCTTCTCCTCTTCCCCCCCTCTTCAATTTCGGTCGCCACGAAGGGAGGGGGTCTTGCCGGAAACGGGTCCTAGACCCCAGTGCTTTCCCATGGTCCTGAGGGAGACGGGTCCAGAGTGCTTCTTTCCAGGCCTTCCAGATGGAACCAAAACGCATCGGGTCGGCAGATCACGCCGCGTCGCCGATGCATCGGCAATGTGTCGCGATCTGGAGTCTGTTCTTCTGCATCCCGCCGTCGCCGATGTATCTTCGATGCATCCACGCTCTGGCCCCAATCGGGAGGCCTCCACTGATGGGCCCGAGCGGCCCCGTGGGCGCCAGCGCACTCTGTCACGCGTGAGGAGAGATTTCCGGCATGCTTATATGAACAAATCCGAAAGTCTTCGCAACAAATCGTGCAGCCTCCCAGTCAGGAAATTTGCCATAGTGTACAATGCTTGTTCAGAGGTGGGGGTAAGTTGAGCCCAATTCATCCGATTTGATCCTCCTCCTCCTTCTCTTGCTTCACATTCGAGTTGCACTGAGCAGCAATGCTCGTTGCGGGAGGGTCGTCCACGTTTCACCGAGCGCGTTCCACTACTCGCAAAGTGCCTACTCGCAAACGTCCGAAAAACAAACGTCTGCCTCGATGTAATTAATGGATCGCAAATCCTCCTCGACGGATCCAGGCCATTTGCGAGTAGTTACTTTGCGAGTAGTGGAACTCGCTTGTCTAACGTTGAGGTCGTGTCCGAGCGTCGGGAGGAAAAGGATTTCCACCGAACGCACACCCTCCTGTATGTGGATGGCTTTGCCTTGTATGTTTGCTTTTCCTGTGGGTGCTGCAGTAGCCTGCTTGCTGCCTCCCTTGCAGAGCCCCGTATAAACATAGCGCGGCTAAAGGAGAGCAAGACCTCAGGCGTCTTAGTAAAGGCCTGTGGCCCCATCCTGCAGGTATGTCCGCCAGAGTTCGTGAGGTGTTGCATGAGAGAGACGCCCTGAGGGCGATCTCGGTAGTGTCGCCACCTGTTGCTTGCAGCGTCAGAGTGCCAGCGTGGGAGGGGGCATAGCTGCGTCCATCCCCGTTGCCAGCAGTGTCAGCAGTGCCAGCATGGAAGTTGCAGCAACAGTGAAAGCACAGGCTACAGGAACCTTCCAGTGCTAGCGCAGCCTTCGGCTTCTCAAAGTAATCCCCAGGGTAATCCTCCTCCTCTTCCTCCTCCTCCTCCAGGAGCAAAAACAATGGAAGCCGTTTCGGTCACCCAGGACTCGCAGGCCTCCTTCGGGGCTCGGTTGTTTTCTTTCGGCTACCGCCAGAACGCAAAAAGAGGTCCTGGTCCCACGCCTCTGCGGTTATAACGCCAGTCGCAAGTTTTACTCAGCCGAGGTCGGTGGTGCCAGAGTGACCCCCCGCACGCGTTACCTCGGGCCCCAGTTTTTGCCGTCTGGAGCGTTCTCCCATCAGCTGCACCTGAGCAAACAAGCGGCCAGTTGTGGCTGGCTCTCGTGTAAGTTTCTGTGGCCTTCGGGGGCCCCGGTGTGCGCTATTGTCTGGCCGCACCCCAGTTAGATCTTGCGTTGCTAGGTACAATTAGTTGGGTGCTTCGTGCGATCGGTCGGGGGCCCATCCCAAGTCTTGGGAGAACCACCGTGTCTGGAAGTGGATGGACATTGTCCCACGTGGGACTTCTGATCCAGAGGCTACGTTGGTATCAGGCCATCGTCCGCTGGCCCGACCAGCGCCGCCAGGTCGTCGCTCTCTTGTTTGGGCAGTCCGGCTTCGAGGGCTCACCTACGTTGCTCCAGGGCCGTCTTTCTGATCGTGCCAACGCTTTCGCTGTTCGGTTCGTTTCGGACGTCTACTACCTTCGGTTGGTCACTGACTACGAGGATTGGCCTCTGGTCTGGTGGTAGAACGTGTGCGACCTATTTCACGACGAGCACGTTTCGCATTTGCTTCTTTCGGCAGACGTTTCAGCGTTTCGTGAAATTCTGCAGGCTGGTTGCACCGAGCTCGACACCATCGAGTTCGGCAACCCCCTCGATTCCTGGAAGCGGGACCGTGGTTTCAGCGAGTCCTCTCTCGAGTTCCTGGGCTCCGCGGGCTGCGTCTTCACGTGTGATTGCACTACCGAGGATGGGAGCGTCTGCGGTGCTAAGTTCCTCGCACATGCTGCGCTCATCGCGCGCAAGGCGCACGCTACCGAGGGGTCCAACGGCGACTGCGCTGAATGTGTGGTTACTAACGAGTGCCCAGCATGTCGGTCCTCCTTCGTTTTCAAGAGAACTGCCAGGGCCCACCTCTGCCGAGCGCTTCGTCGAGAGTTTTTTGCTACCGAGTCGGCTCACGCCATCCACCCTGTCGTGCCTCCCAAGCTCGGTGCTCCGTTTGCAAGGTCGACTCCTTCGCCGACTTGGCTCAGCTCCAGTTGCATATCTGCGAGCTGCGTCTCCCTTTCGTGCCGGAGCGCGCCGTGTCGAGGGGTTGCGACGCCGGAACGGCAGCTGCCCAAGCGGGCGGCCGCCCCCCCCGCGGGCAAGGCCAAACCCCCCGCCAAGTCCAGCGGGAGCGGCGCAGCGTCGTCGACTTTCCGGGCGCAGCTCGCCATCGCGGGAGGCCAGCAACACGACGAGGGCGACAAGAAACAACGCAACAGACACCTCGGCAAGGTGACATGAAGCAGGCGGGCTTCATCGGCGCGCTCAAGCAGGCCCTCCTGACTTCGCAGATGGTTTGCGGCCTGTGGGCGGCGAGGGTGGGCGCGTTCTTCGTGGGCGCGGACGCTCCAGAGATCGGCGCGGCCCAGGAATGCGGGGCGACGTATTCGCGCGAAGTCCGAGCCCGCCGGAAAGGCTAGCTGCGTCCTCCTCACCCGCATATGTTCAATGGGTTTCTCGCCAAATTGCTCGAGCGTGGAATCGCGCTGGGGCAGGAGACGCACTCGCCGCTCAATGTGTGGCGCGCCAGGGTACTGGTGTACTGGTGGAGTTGCAGCCAGACGAACTGTATAATTTCCGACGCCTTTTCCGAATGATGAAGTGTTTCGACCCGTCGAAGCGCGAGTGCACATCACGTTGAGAGAAGTTCCGATGGGCCAGCCCTCGCCCGAGTCCGGCGAACAGCCTCTGCCTTCGCCCGCGCTCGCGCGCAACTTGCTCCGAAAGGCGCTGGCCGAGGCCGGGGCATGCAGGGCGCTGGGCGCGGTTCCGCCAGGCGCCGTGGGGGAGATCACTCATGAGAACGCGGCCGACGGTGAGGCAGAGGGCTAGCTCGACTCCTTCCTGCTGCAAAATCCTAGCTTGCTTAGGTTCTGTCGTCGCTGTTTTGCTGCAGCTTGAACTAGCTAAGTCCAAGCTTGTCTAGGTTCGGTCGTCGCTGTGTTGCTGCAGCTGGTGTTGGCAAATCCTAGCTTCACCTAGGCTCAGTCGTCGCAGATTTGCTGCAGCTCGATGCGGCCGCGTGGTGCCGTACCTATGGGCGTTGCTCTGACGTGGAGCTGCTGGTGGCCCTACCGCGCGTCGTTCGATTGACGCGGGCCTCGCGCTGTGCCGCCTCTGGGGCATCATCAGGAAAGAGCAGGTCGATGACGTTGGCTTCTAGGGGCTCATCGTGTACGGTTCGGCGTGGCCCCGCCTGTTAACATATCGCAGCCGTCGCTGCGAGGTGAGCCCCCGGTCGCACGCGTCGCCGACCCTGGGGGCCCCTCCTCTGCCAGTGTTTCTGCCTTCGCTCCCCTCGCTCTCCTCGCCTCCTGCCTTTTGGCTCCCCTCGCCAGCCTCGGCCCCTGGGTGTAACTTGAATATTCTACGGCCTCGGGCCTGCTGCCCCTTCCTGTTTCGGGTTCGCCGCGCCCCATCAGTCGGTGCGCGTGTCCCTGGGGCCCAGATTCTCGGTCCGTCAGGGCCCGTTTGGCCCTGCCTGCCCGATCCCCTGCGGGAAATTATTTGTCGCCCGACTGGTGCACTTTCTGATGTGGTCGATATTGTTGTTCAAATCGTAAACCTTTTAGTTGAACTTTCTATTTTTGCAGGCGCGCGCCGAGCGCGGCCTTGTGGCTGCCACCGCCGCCGCGCTTTTGCATGTTAGACCGAGAGCTGCGGACCCATAGTCGTGTCTTGTCATATCTCCTCCTCCTTCTTTTGCCTTTCCTCCTGCATTTTTTCCTCCTCTCCTACTGTTTCACCCTCCTCTGCCATCCTCCATATTATCCATCCTCTTCCATTTTCCTCCATCCTCCTTTCATATTCTTTTCGTCCTCTTCGGCCCTCCCGTTCCATCGGTTTTCTACATTTTCTTATCAGAGGGAGGGGGCCGAACGGTCATTCACTGTCCCTGGGCGCTTGGCTGAAGTGGGGTTCCGCGGTGCGGATCGTTGTTGCGCTGTTGTTGAATTCTCGTTTCTCAAAGATAGTTGTTGTTGATTTTGCTTTGTCGGTGCCCATTTTTTTATTGAAAGTGCCGCTTCCAGGGCTCGCACCCTGTTTTGTATACGGGTTCCCGGTTTACAACAACAGCGGTTCCCGCCTGATATTTCCTCACACGTTATTCCGAAACTGCGTTCTCGTGCAGGACGTCCTCGCAATTCATATAGGAATCGCGCTGCCGCGTGGGACTTCCTCGCAACTTATTCAGACGTCGCACTTTCGACACTCAGGAACCACACTCTCACTGTGGATTTCTGCACGATTTATTTGGGAATCGTGCTCTCGCTCAAGAGTTCCTCGTGGTTTTTGCCAGACGCACGCTTCGGCAACCCGCCTGCTCGACCTGCCCGCCTGTGCCCGCATTCCCGACCCGCCCGTTAGGGTCTACCCGCTCTATTTGCCCGTTTGTTTTTGCCACGGGTTTCCGTTCGTAGTCCCCTGTTTTTGTATTTTCTTTCGTGCTCCATTCTCTTCCATCCCCCTTGTCTTCCTTCCATATGTGCTTTATTCCCGTACCTTAGGGGTTGCAGGGATACACGTTGCGAGTAAGACAGATATACCCCGGAAGGGGTACGATCGAAAACGAAGAGGGCGGGTATCAACAGTTTGGGATATCCGTGTTGGTTGGCCCGCGAACTGGTAAAATCTACCTGTCTTACATGTGTTGTGTTGTTGCTGTTGTTGCTGTTGCTGCTGCTGCTGCAGTTGTTGTTGTTGTTGTGGTTGTTGTTGATGTTGTTGTTGTTGTTGTTGTTGAACTCTCATGTCGAGAGAATAATTACTGTTGATTCCCCCCCACCAGTGCATATGTTTTCTCAATCAAAGTGCACCCCTCGACGCTCGCACCCTGTTTTTTGACAGGGAAGGTCTTGATGCTCAAACTGGGCCCCTGGCCCCTGGATTACAACAACAACGGCTCCCGCCTGTTACTTCGTCCAAATGTATTCAGGACCCCCGCTCCCGCCCGAGACTTCCTTGCATTTTATTTAGGAATCGCGCTCTCGCTTGAGACCTCCGTACCATTTATTCAGGAATCGCTCTCCTGGCGCTCTGGAGTCGCACTCTCGCTGGAGACTTGCTTGCAATTTACTGAAGAATAACGCCCTTGAGTTGGATTTTTTTTTTGCAATTTGCTCAAGCGCCGCGCTCCTGACACTCAGGCACCCAGGAGTCGCCCCCGTTGTGGCCCCATGTGCATGCCCTTCGTGGCCCCGCTGTCGCTCACTGTCCTAAGGCGGCCCAGTTGCTACCCTCAGTGGCCCCATCGCTGCCTTCTGTGGCCCCGCATTATCTGCCCTTCGTGGCCCCCGCTCGTTCGCGCTCTTCGTGGCCCCATACGCATTCCCTTCGTGTCCCCGCTGTCGCCCTTCATGGCCTACCTCGTGTCCTTCGTGGCCCTGCGGTCGTTCTCTCTCGCTCTCGCTTTCGCTCGTCGTCGCCGTCGTCGTCGCCGTCGTCGTCGACGTCGTCGTCGTCGTCGTGGTCGGTCCCCTGTCCGTCCCTCTTGGGGTCGGGTCGACGGTCCGCGGCCGCCCCGCCGATCAGCGCTGCCGCTGGCCAGGCCGACGGTCCGCGGCCGCCCCGCCGCTTGCCGGGGCCCGGCCTGCAGGGAAGAAAGGTATACCACCCAAAAGAGGTTCGATCGAAGACGAACAGGGCGGTCATCGAGGGTTTGGGAAATACGCGTTATTGGACTTTCGAGCAGATAAGGGCGAACAGTCTTAACATGATTGTTGTTGTTGTTGTTGCGGTGGTTATTGCTGTTGTTGGTGTTGTTGTTGTTGCTGTTGCTGCTGTTGTTGATGTTGCGATTGTTGTTGCTGTTGTTGTAGTTGTTACCGTTGTTGATGTTGCTGTTGTTGGGGATGATGATTGTGCTGGTGATGGTGATGATGATGCTGTTGTTGATGATGCTGATGTTGTTGTTGTTGTTGAACATTATTAATTCTAAAGAATAATTATTGTTGGGCCCCCTGGTGCGCGCCCCCCCCGCCGCGCCTAGGCCGCAGCCACGTTTTCATCATTTTCGTGAGGAAGCCTCAGGTAATTCGAGGTGATCAAGATCCGGTTGTTTTGTTCCCCCCCCGCTTTCCCTTGCAAAAAACACTATAAAATGAAATTTCTTGTTCAAATATTATCAAATTTCAAGAATCCCTTGTAAAAAATAAGGTAAAGTGGACATTCGCGCGCGCAAGACGAAATCCTTCCAAAAGCTTAGTGTTCGGAGCGATTTTAACATAAAAACATCAAAAAACCAATGGTTTTTCAACAAAAAAATGTCAAAATCTCATCCCGCGCGCTCTTGCGGATTCGTAGGAAACCCAACACTTTTTAAACATTTCTGTCAAACGGGCTTTTGCGAGCAACTTTTTCGAACTTCTGCGACAACGGTTGCGCACCTGCCAGGGCCATCATCCCTGTCAAATAATACCATGCGGGACACATTCGTTTTTTCTTCGCGCGCGCACGCCGAAATCTCCAAAAACCATTGGGTTCTGTGGGTGTGTACCCCACGCCAGTGTAGTAGCCACGGTCGTCCGCACGCCACGAAGTGAAGTGTCCCAACGTCATAGGGCGGGAAGCTGGGTTTGGGTGGTCGCGAAGAGTCGTTTGGATATTTGGTAGAGCTTGTAATGCCCCCCCACGAAGTGGGGGTATTGCCTGGTGTCGTATGAAAACCCTGGCACTGGGGAGAACACCACGCGTTCGGGTAAAATGATTGTTGTTGTTGTTGTTGTTGTTGTTGTTGTGGTTGTGGTTGTTGTTGTGGTGTTGGTTGTTGCGGTTGTTGTTGGTGTTGTTGCGATGTGGTTGTCGTCGTCCTCGCCCGCGACCCGCCAACCACCCACACGCGACCCACCCTGCGACCCACCCCGCGACCCATGCGCGATTCACCCGCGACCCACCAATTTTGCTTTTGACGGCAATTCGGCGCCTGTGGCAGGCTCGTTGCGCAATGCGCAAAAATAATGGTGTTTGCGGAGGGTTTCTCCAGGGCCTCGCTGGTTGCCGGCGACCCCATCGCCCCATCACTCTTATCCGCGCCTGC